AAAAAAGAGGTCAAAGGACCCGAACAAGACGGCAGCGCACGCTGGATGTGTGAAAAGGCCGGAATGGCGCTGGTGTAGAGTTACTTTCTAAGCTAAGGGCAGCTGCCTCTAGATCGCAATAGCAGTTATAACAGCCTTAATAGCCTCTACGGCAATCGCCTAATATAATAATAATAATAGCGACCTCTACTATAAGTATACGACTTTCGACTACGTCGACGGCTTAACCTATAATAGTAACTATATAGGCAACGAGCGTCTAGCCTCCTACTATAGCGGAATAAGGGGACGCTATCTCGGCGGAAATAATAGCCGCTATTTAGGCGGTAGTTGCCTAGGTACTAGCAGGCTAGGCTCCTATAGTAGGCAATAGAAATAGAAATAGTATGCCTATCTTTAACGAGGCTAGCAACCTAAACCGAATATAGGACTAGGAAATTAGCTTCTTCTAGCTAGACCTATCGAAAGGAGACGACGACCTAAGTATCGTAGGATCTAATACCTTCTTCTAAGATATTAATATCTTTATTAAACGACTTAAGGATGTTATAGTATATCGTAGTAACGATCGAGTTAAGTCTAGAATCCCCGTACTACTACGAGGAACGGCCTTAACCTAGTATACTAACACGCTTAACAACCTAGCGAAATAGGGCCTTCGCTACGTACTAGGTCTAGACTATTAGTTTACGACGCTACGAGAGAACTTCTAGACGCTACTATCTAAGTCGCTAAACGAGCTAACGCGGCTTAAATATACGTTATTAGACGTAGGCAACCGACGTAGTATAGATACCTACCTTAGCGAGGTAATACGCTATATACGTAACGCCGGCCTAGTTAATAAAAGCTAGTAGCTAACGTATATATAGAATAGTATCGACGTAGAGCTACGACGTAGCATTCGGCTACCGAGAGAAGAGGATACGATCGTATTATTTAGGTAGAGGCTTAAGGAGGAGCAACTAGCGTAGGTTAAACTAGTACGACAACTAAACCGCCGCAATATAACTACTATTACCGGTTCTTTATTAAGACTATTCCCTACCCGCTTAGCGGGTAAGTAACTATAGCGTAATCGAGACTAGAACTTCCGACCGAGCTATTAATAGACAGATCGATAGGAAGGCTCTAGGAAGCCTTAGACTAACTCCGTATATTCTTTATAGCCGCCGCCGCCTCGCCGCGACTAAGGTCGAAGCGACTAACGCTTTCGGAAGCCTTAAGACTGTTAAGAATTAGCAAGCGACAAGTTATAATTAAGGGGCGCTAAGAAGACCTTCGATAAGGCTAAGCCTTAGCCTATAAAGCCCTTCGCTTAGCGCAAGAAGCAAGACTCTTACTAGAAATTAGTTACGTCCTTATTTTACTAGGATTTTTAGTAATAGCGTCGCCCTCGACGTAGGCTACTATTACGCCGAAGCCTCGTTTCTTAGACGCGCTGCCCTACGTATAGCGACAAATCGATAGAATCCTACGAACGGAAGGACTTAATAGGTTCGCTAAAGCTTTTATTAACGATATCGTAATTTATAGCAAGACGCTAGAGGAACATCTATACTATCTCGATAAGGTATTCGAGGCCTTAAACCGATACTAGCTTGCTATAGCACCCGAAAAGGCTTTTATCGGGTACCTATCGATCTAGCTACTAGGGCAACGAGTCGACGCCTTAGATACTACGACGCTAGCTAACAAATTAGCAGCTATTACTAAGCTTAAGTTTCTACGAACGCTAAAGGATCTAGAATATTATCTTAGACTAACCGGATAGCTAGGAACGCGTATTAAGTACTATACTTAACTAGCGGAACCGCTCTAGAAGATAAAGACAGAGAGGCTTAAGGGAGCGCCTACTACTAGCTAGGCACGTCGATATTATATAGTAACGATACTAATCGAGGAAACGGAGGAACGACTAGCTACGTTTTAAGCCTTATAAGAGGCCTTTACTAAGCTAACGATGCTATATTATTTCGCGAGACACCGGCCGCTATATATCTATATCGACGCATCTAAGAAACGAGGCTTCGGCGTAATAGTAGCCTACGTCGAGGGCGACGCTATTACTAAAAATCCTAGTAGAATAAGAACGTAACTAATTTTGTTTTTATTAAAGACTCTTTCTAGCACAGAGCGACAGTACTAGCTAACCGAATTAGAGGTCGCCTACCTAGTATAGACGATTAAACGCGTACGATAGATAGTCGAGGCATGCGAGTTAGTAGTAACAGTGCTTACGGATTACGCGGCAACGCTAGGGATCGTAAGCTAGACTACCTTAACTTCGTTATTAGTTAACAAGCTTAATAACCGACTAACGAGATCGTCGCAATATCTTTCCCTTTTCCTACTAAAGGTAGTCTATAAGCTAGGGCGAGAACATATCGTACTAGACGCCTTATCGCGCCTAGAAACGATAGACGATTATCTTTTAGAGGGCGACGTATTCGACGAACTAGTTTACGGAGTAATAATACTAGAAATAGACGACGCCTTTAAGTAATAGCTTATCGAAGTATACGAAGAAGATAAATACTAGAGCAACATTAAAGCAATAGTATAGAACGCGGAACTAGGCTCTACTAGCTTCTTAGTCGACGACGAAGGCCTAGTATAGCTCGATAAGCCCTATTTAGGCGACCGACGATTGTGTATTCTAAAGGCATTAGAGGGTAACATTTTTAGTAGCGTATACGATAACTAGTACTATATCGGTTTTTATCGTACCTATACCCGAGTAAATAACTAGTACTATATCTAGAAACTAGCTAAGAGACTAAAAAAGTATCTAAGTTACTATTAGGACTGCTTAGAGTTGCAGACTAAGCGATACAAGCCGTATAGGTCCTTAAACCCTATACTATCCCCGCTAGTACCCTTCTATACGATTACGATTAACTTTATAGTGTCCCTTTCCGCTTAGGAAACTAACGCCGTACTTATAGCAACGGATAAGTATATAAAGCAGGTACTCCTAGTTACTAGCAACGACGCGTACTTAGCGGAGGCTTAGGCTAACTGCCTGCTCGACGAATTGTTCCGATATAATTAGAGCCTACTAACCGTAATTATCTCTAATAGAGACCCGAAATTTACGTCCGAGATATAGAAGGCTATTTTTAAGCGAATAAACGTTAAGCTGTTAATAACGACGGCCTATTACCTATAGGCTAATAGTTAGTCTAAGAGAACGAACTAGACCGTCGAGATTGCCCTATAGTATTTCCTTACCTAATACCCTAATAGGGATTTAGAATTAGAATACGCGACGCCGTATATATAATTAGTTCTTAATAACTCTATTAACGCCTCGACTAGCATATTACTAAACTAGGTGCTAATAGGTTTTAACCCTAGGGAACTAGCCTAAATAGTAACGACTAGCGAGACGGATTTAGTAAAGGAATAGGACGTCTACCGAGCGGAGGCAGAGAATAATATCGCCTATACTTAGGCCGCTATAAAGCAACGCTACGACTCTTAGTACGTAGCCTAGAAACCTATAGTAGGCGACATAGTCTATTTATAGCTTAAGAATTACGCTATTCCTAGAGTTAGTAACCGAAAGCTTATACCTCTAAGGATTAGGCTATATAAGGTAACGAAGGTTATAAGTACCGGACTAGCCTACTAGATTAACCTACCGAAAACGTAGAGGATATACCTAGTAGTCTCTATTACGGAACTCGAGCCTTATCCTAATACTAAAGACCCGTATAAGCGAGTAACGAGGCAACCCTTAAGAATACGTATCGAATAGGGAGACGCCTTACCGGAAATAGAAGCGCTAAGAGACTAACGAGTCTAACGAGTCGGTCGGTATAGGAAAGAGATAGTAGAATATCTAGTAAGATAGAAGAACGTAGAAGTCGGAGCGGACGAATAGGTATAAGCGGAAGGCATTCTACTAACGATAGTAAAGGCCTACGATCGTCGCTACCGATAGAATAGTAATAGAGCATTATATAATAGACTTACCGTACGTATATTTCCTCTAATAACGGGTCGCGTAGCTTCTACGTAGTTTACTTTACTTCTATAATAGACAGGAGCGCGTATACTAAGCTTGCGCGTATACTAAGTTTACTTTATTTTAAAACAACTTCGCTATAGCAACTTTACTATAATAACAATTTTCCGCAAATATATTGCTATCGCTAATACGAGAGCTTACTTACGATATTTAATACTGTTTCTAGTAGCGTAAAGTAATAGAATACGATATAAAGTAGAAGACGCTACTACGCGAGATACCTAATATACGCGATACGGCTTTGCCTAACGACCTCCTCGCGTAGACCGCCGACGCTAGTAAGGCTAATACTAACGATACGATACTACCTAACGATCTCCTCGCGTATACTACCGAGGCTAACGGCGAGACAGCCGCTACTAACGATACTACTGCTACTAATTTGCTAGGTAACGCTAGCGAGGGTAACGGTAACGGTTCTATAGGTAACGGCGCTCTTAATAACCTCTTAGATATCGACCTTAGCGACTATCGCCTAGCTCGCGAGAGCGACGTCTACGACCTTCTTAACGAGCCCGACTCCGACGAGCCTAATACCTTCTTCCCTTTTTAGAGACTATAACCGTAAGAGAGTAATATAACGGTAGAATAGAGAATCGATTAATTCTGAAGCGAGGTAGGATTAGCAATAGAACCTGTCTCTAATAACGAGAATAGAGGAAATAACGAGGCAGTCGACGACCTAGAACCTATCTTATAGACGCTAGTTAACGCCTATCTATCGTTTACGCTATTTAATGCTAACAAGGAGACGCTATCGAAATCTAGTACTAAGAAGAGAAAGAATAAGAGCAAGAGCCGACTTATTAATAAAAACGAGGTAACTCTAACTCCTTAGCTAACGAAGAAGGCTAAGAAGGCGATACCTATTACTCTAAAGGAATCGCCTATAATAGAGACGATGTCGTCGGATAAGAAGAGAGCCCTAGCTAGAGCCCTAATAGCTTAGCCTACTAAGGATCGGACTTCGAGGGCAGAGCTAGCTAAACTATCGCCTAAGAAAAAGGACAAACGCAATAAGATACTTAGAGAGCGGAGAGATATAATACGAGATATCGAGATTAATATACTCTACCTAGCGCCGAATAAGATACTTAATATCGACCTAGTTATATAGAGAAATATAGCCGACGACGGTACCGAGCGAGTACCTAAGAAGGTTAAGAACTTAACGAAGAAGCTATAGTCCGAGTATAACTAGCTATTATAGGAACTTATCTAGTAACAGTTTATAGCACGTTACGACCCTAAGGCTATATAAGTTGCGTTCGTTAGGCGATAGTATAGGGTAAGGCAAATAGTCGCTAACGACGAACACTCTACGGACCCTATAGACCCTAGAGTATTATTAGCTAACTTCGAGGCACTCGAAAATAGAGACAACCGCTGCGCGACTAGGAAGGCTACTAATAATAGAGATAATAATAATCTAAACCTACTTAAATAGAAGCCTAGAGAGGAAGGTTTATTAATAGTAACGACTAAGGCTACCTAGCTAACGGACGACCTTAGCGCCGAATTCGGAAGCAACTAAGGACAGGTACTCTACCGCTATATAGGAGTATAGACCGACCTAACCGACCCGTCTATAGAGCGATATACTAACTAATAAATAGCAGCTAGGGAGGAAACGCGACGAGCGCAAGTCTAGGCCTAGTTAGAACGCGAGGAGGCAGCTGTAGAAGCTAAGGCTAATAAGAAACGAGCGGAATTTGTAGAGAGGAAGGCTAGGGTACTAGTATACTTTTAGGTAGATATAGGTAGAAATAAGAATAGAATTATACCTAAGTAGTAGACGGCCTACTAGATAATTAGCATCTAGGCAACGAGACTAGCCTAAGTAGTAGACAGCCTACTAGATAATTAGTATCTAGGTAACGAGATAAGAGAGTTAGAGTAATAGTATAAGGGCGTACCTTTTCTTTTATTTAGGGCAGACTATTACGGAATAAGGAAGTAACGGTCTAGGGGCTAGTTAACTAATAAGGCGACGGCCTACCTTTATAATTAGCCTTCCTCCTCTACATAATCATCATCAATCTCAACTTCATAACAAGCAGTCACGACATAAGGTTGCGCAACGCTTGCTCCCGCCCCGCTTGAACAGTGCAGTCAAATATTGATGGAATCATCATAAAAGCCGAGTGCTTCACTTCCAGCAATTCCTCTCTGCCAATCCCGCTCTGGAGACGATCGGAATGGCTCTTTCAGCAGCAAGCCGGCCATGTCGACGGCCTCGATATGCATTGAGGGAGATGTTGCTATTCTTCTCGCTTGACGTTCGACGGCGAGGCGCGTAAAGACGGTCTCCGTAACGGCAATGGCTCGGCTCGGCTCGGCTCGGCTCCAGCTGCGCGATCAGCCGTGCTCGTTGCTCGTTGCTGTTGCTGTTGCTGTTGGCGTGCATGACAGCTCCAACTGCGAACTACACACCACCCTCCCCTCCCCTCCACGCCGCCCATTGCGCGCGCCCCTTGCCGACCGCGATATACTTCGATTCTGGCGCATGTATTCATAGTAGAGCGTCCACTCGTTCCGGTGCGGTCTTTGCAGGCGACCGCCCTTCCTCACTGCGCACCGCTCGCACATACATCAATGGACCGGCGGCCAGTGAAACGATGAACAGCCTCAATATTGTGTCGCGACTGCCTCCACGCTCACGAACCAGTTCCTCGTCGGACATCCACACCCTCGGAAGCAACGGCCATGCCAGCGAAAGCGCAAACGGGAGCGCATCACTCCATGCTGGCTCACTCTCGGAGAAGTTGGGCCATCTTAACGGGCTTGAGATGAGGAATGCCGCAGACGCAGACGCAGACGCAGACGCAGACGCAGACGCAGACGCAGACGCAGACTATGTCGACGAGAAAGGACTCCATTCTGAATTCCGGAAATGGAGGTGCTGAAAGAGAAAGC